AAAACAGCTGGACAGGCCAGTGGCTGGCAGGTTGCTTAGATCTCTTGCTTTGGTTTTTCACCTGTCTGAAGCCTCCTCACCCCACCATGGGGCAGGGGAATCCACTTTTGCCCCTCTGCAGTAGCTCAGGGGTCTTTTCCAAGCCCAGCCATGCTTGGAGGTGACTCCTCTCTCCTTCTAAAGGACAGACTTGGGAGGGAGAGGCTGGTAAAGGTGAGGCATTCACCTTCCCACCCCTGTATTCATAGGCTGCCAGGCTTAGCCTCCTTGTTCCTCTCCTTGAGAATCACCCATAGACCCAATTTTTAGTTCCCGTTCCCATGTGGCCTTGGTGGGTATGAGGCTGAGGAGGAGAAACGTGCTGGGGAAGTTTTGAATCATGCATTCCTCCAGAGCTGGGAGGAGGAAAAAAGCCCCTCCAGCTCCACACTGGAGCGTGGCAGCCTCGCCCCCGACCTCAGACCTTGATTTCACAGTTCACCTGAGGCAGGACTGAGGTAAAACCTGGCTGGCAACAGGAGCTGGCCAGAAGATCTGAAAGTGTGAGCTGTTCTGGAAAAAAAAATGGCCTTTTTTGGCAAAGGAAGCTGTACTGTCAGGGATCTGTTGGCACTTGGAATCTCCTTAATGGCATATTTGTAATGCTTGTCCGTATGCTCTGTTTAGCAGCTCCTGCCTTTACAGTAAACACAAGCTAATAACATTTTTTTAGAGTGTTTTCTTGGATGATTCCCAGTGGAAAGGGGAAAAAAAAAAACACCCAACCATAGAAGAAAAGGTCCTTTTTCAGATTCTGTCCTCGTGGTGCAGCTTTGAGCCCATCTCCTGAGAAGGCAGCTGAAGCCCTGTGTGGGTTTGGGGTGCTGGCACTGAATGGGAACCTGGGCTCAGCAGCCTGGTGGACGTGGGACATGGCCCTGAGAAGAAGCCTCTTTGGTGTGGAAAGCACCAGGGAGGAGTCAGAGGGTCCCCAAGGGCAGAGAGAGGCTGCCAGTGATGGAGATGCCATGGTGATGAGCAGGCATCTTCCTCTGAGGTGTCCTGGAGGACGTGGCCACGACTCTGCCCAGGCTGTGGCTCTCACCCAACTCACATTTGCCTTCCTGAGCTCACACGCCTTGTTTGGTTGGCTTTTTTCTCCTTTTTTTCTGGAAGGATCAGACTTTCCAGTGACCTCATCCCACCCTCAGAAGGTCAATGTGCAAATGCCACTGTGGAATTTACCCAGGGAGGAAGAGGTAACCTGGATTTCTGCTCCACGGGCTGAGGAAAGCTGGGGAGCACTGCAGGGAGCTAAAGCAGCCACTGCCTGTCCCTTGGCTGGAGCTGAGACCTTCCAGAACATCCCCCTCCACGATGGTCCTCCCATAAAAACCCAACAGAGCCTGCAGAGAGCCCTGAGTCACTGAAAGGCAGGTTACTGCTAAATTAGCAGGACAAAAACTCTTCCCTTGGCCAATAAAATCCAAAGGGGCCGTGGGTTGAGTGTGGCTTCAGATGGGGGTTCTCCATCCTTCCTCCTTGCTCTGTAGCCCAACCAAACCTCCAGGAGAAAAACCAAACCCAGATGTTTCTCTCTGCTCCTGGAGGTTTTGATACTTATATGGCTGATAAATGTTTCTGTGTGTTGAGGTTTGCTTCATTTGCTGCTTGGTCTTTAGAACTCCCCCAGGGAGTGGCATGGAGACGTCTCTGTTGGGGGACAAAGGTGCAGGAAGGTCACTAGCAGTGACTACAAAAGGTTCACCCAGTGCTCACTGCTTTATGGTGCTCCTGGTTCAGTGGGGCAAGTTCCCTGGGGACCCTCCTCTGGTGGGGTGATGTGCAAAGGGGTGGAGAAGGTCCCACCACCAGTGTGCAAAGAGATGGGAGAAGGTCCTGGCGACCCTCCTCTGGTGGGGTGATGTGGGGTGATGTTCCACCACCAGCGTGCAAAGAGATAGAGAAGGTTCCACCACCAGTGTGCTAAAGGGATGGAGAAGGTCCCCCCACCAGTGTGCAAAGGGCTGGAGAAGGTCCCACTCCCAGTGTGCAAAGGGCTGGAGAAGGTCCCACTCCCAGTGTGCAAAGGGCTGGAGAAGGTCCCACTCCCAGTGTGCAAAGGGCTGGAGAAGGTCCCACTCCCAGTGTGCAAAGGGCTGGAGAAGGTCCCACTCCCAGTGTGCAAAGGGCTGGAGAAGGTCCCACTCCCAGTGTGCAAAGGGCTGGAGAAGGTCCCACTCCCAGTGTGCAAAGGGCTGGAGAAGGTCCCACTCCCAGTGTGCAAAGGGCTGGAGAAGGTCCCACTCCCAGTGTGCAAAGGGCTGGAGAAGGTCCCACTCCCAGTGTGCAAAGGGCTGGAGAAGGTCCCACTCCCAGTGTGCAAAGGGCTGGAGAAGGTCCCACCACCAGTGTGCAAAGAGATGGAGAAGATCACACCCCCAGTGTGCTAAAGGATGGAGAAGGTCCCACCACCAGTGTGTGCAAAGGGATGGATGAAGGTCACACCCCCAGTGTGCAAAGGGATGGATGAAGGTCACACCCCCAGTGTGCAAAGGGATGGAGAAGGTCTCACTCCCAGTGTGCAAAGGGATGGAGAAGGTCCCACCACCAGTGTGCAAAGAGATGGAGAAGGTTCCACCACCAGTGTGCAAAGGGATGGAGAAGGTCCCACCACCAGGCAGGTCCTCCCCTGCCCCATAGCTGCCTCATCCCCCACCCATGGCAGGGCACTTCTGCTGTGCCTCAGACCACAGAGGCTCCTTCGTGCCACAACAGGAGTCCAGGTGGGGTGGTGGCTTTCACCAGAGAACCTCCTCAAACCTCTTCTGCTCTCTGTGACCACCTCGATACCCTCCCAGGAGCTCTGCAGGCATCATCTGTGTCCTCCTCCTCCAGCACAGCACTCTTGACTCATCTACTGTGACACATGGACCATATTTTGGACAGGGCAGCTTTCTAGGAGAAGATGACACTGGAGAAAAGGAGGAGGCTACAGGCAGCAGGTCTGGCAGGAGCCTCCAGACACACAGTTTAATAAGAGCAAAGTCAAGCAGCACAGACCCAGATTTAACCTTTTTCATGCTTTTTTTGTTTTCCATTCCATTATTAGTGCAAATAACAAGACCCTGTGAGACACCACGTTGGAGCTGAGCTCTGGAGCTCCAGGGACACAAACCCAGCTCTCCTCCTTTGACTGAGGAGGGCTTTTCTCATCCCTACCCCAGGAAGAGGGGGAACCCCACTGAAATGGGGATTTTCTCTGGCCCTGCCTGAGCCCCCCCATCAGTGAACTTCTCTCCAAGGGGCATCACTTTTGTTATCCCTTTTTTTTAGCCAGAAGAAACTTGCAGCTCCCTAAATCCTGCTGTGGTCCCCATGCTGCCAGGATGGTTCATCCCAGGGAACCTGGAACTGAGACAAAACCAAACTCCATCCTTCCTGGCCCGTGGAGACCAAGCCAATGACCTCAGTAGGGTTGGGTGGACACTGGTCAGCTGGGTGTCCACATCCCACTGACCCTGCTCCTCCAGGCTTGGTTCAGCTGTGGCCAGTCTGAAGGTACCAGGGGCATCTCCACAGCCTGGCAGGTCTAAGGCAGGACTCCAGGGAGACTCCAGCCCTTCTGGAGCAGCACTGGGAGGACACACAGACCCTCCAAGAGGCCTGACACTCATGGACCAGTGACTGAAATGAGCTGTGAGAGTCTTGGCCCAAATACAGAGGCCTCAGGATTCATTGCAACCACCCAAATTCTGCCATCCATCTTCTCCTTTCCCTCAGGTCATGAGATCCTTGGTTGGTATGGGTCCCAGTTCTCCATTAGGCAACCAGGCAACCAAAAATAATTCATTGTGGGTCTTTTTCTGTCCTTAAATGAGGTTTTACACCTTGGTGGGGGTGATTGAGAGGAATCAGCAGAAGGAATGGGAATCATGGGCAATGCAGTGGCTGTCTCCAAGGTCTCCATCTTCTGCTCCAGCTCATCAGCTTCCCCAACGCCCATGTTTTATGGGTACACCCAACAAGGAAGCCCCATGGGTTTTGGCTATGAAGCCAAAGCTGAAATGGCAGGACTGGGGTTTGTGATGGTGATGGAGCTGAGGGAGAGCGTCCAGAGTTGTGAAGACCACTCCCAAACCATTTAAAACCATTATCTGCACATCATCCACTTCCCACAGCCTGGTTTGGGTTAATCCAAGGAGCAGCTGAGGCATGAATAAAATGGAGTAGGGGAATAAAGGTTTAAAATAAAATATAGGATGACACCTGGACAAAAGCATCTTTTTAAAAGCTCAAGTCCATGGGGCAACACTCCCAAAGAAGATTTGGGAAGTGTGTTGCAGAAATAATTCAAGCTTGGGAACACCAAATGGTCATGGCTGATGCTGGAGAGCTGTGCTCACCAAAACCCACACACCATCCCCTCCAGGAGCACCCAACCCTTGGACTGAGGGGCTGAAGAGCAGCTCTTCTGCACAGCAGTGAGTGGGATGGGGGGGACCAGTGTAATCAGCTCCTCCAAGGAGGGCTAGGGGCTCAGGGACAGGAGGAGAGCCCCATCACCTCCTCCATGCCACATACAGACCTGACAGCTTCTGTCCTTGCATCACCCAGCCCAGAGATTCGCTCATCTCTGCGTGATAACAAGATAGGACAAGAGGAAATGGCCTCAGGTTGCACCAGGGGAGGTCTAGGTTGGATGTTAAGAGAAATTTATTCCCTGCAAGGGTTGTCCAGGGCTGTGCCAGGCTGCCCAGGGCAGTGGTGGTGTTCCCATCTCTGGAGGGATTAAAAGCCGTGGAGATGTGGTGCTGAGGGACATGTTTCAGTGGTGACTTGGCAGTGCTGGGGGAACAGTTGGACTCCATGATCTTAATGACCCTTTCCAACCTAACCAGACCCACGATGCCCATCTCCAGAGGGTATGGTAGACCAGGGGCACCTCTTTAACACTCTTTTCCTCTTCCTCCTCCTCCCAGTGCCACTGCCCCGTGCCTCCACCTCGCCTCGGCGCTGCCATGGCCACGCTAGAGCCGCTGCCCCTTCTCAGTGACCCCACCCACCCCGGCCCAGAGACCTTCCAGGGTTTTGCACCCCAGCTACCCCTCCCCACCTCCCGGCGAGCCATGGGGAGCGTGGGCAGCGGCGTGGCCAACGACCAAGAGTTTGCCATGAAGAGCGTGGGGACGCGGACGCAGAGCGGTGGGCGGCAGGCGGAGGGGTCCCGCAACGGCTACTCCACCCGGGACATCTCCCACCGCTACTCGGGGGAGGAGAAGGCTTACAAGTCTGAGAAGGTCTCCAACTCCCTCTACATCAACGGGGAGCTGCGCAAGGGCGAGAAGGTGAAGGTGGACATCTGTGGGAACGTCACCGCCAACAACGAGAAGAACGTGCCACCTCCTCCCCAGTACCGAGAGCCCGGGAACCCACCAAAGATATTGCCCATCTCTGGCAAACTAGACCAGGTGAGGAGCCCCAAAATCCTGGAGCAGCTTGATGACCGTGGCACAGGTTTAAAAAAAAGACACAGACCAGGAAGCCTCAGGTGATGGTGGGATCCTGACAGGGAGTCTAATTCTTGCTCTGTGGATGGCGTCGTGTTTGCGTATAGACAATACAATTCCTGTTGAGCTGAGGGAAGTGTTAGTGCTTGAGGAACACCAGAGCATGATCATAAGTCTTCCACAGCTAAGCCTCCAGCAAATTTAAGCCTGTATTTCAGCCACTGGCAATTCCAGCCTACCCAAGAGGCTGTGCCTACCTCACTGATGGATGGGGAGGGAGCTGGAGGTGGCTCTTCTTTCAGCAGGTCCAGCCTCTGAGTCCCACTCCTACGTTTTGTGCCATTTATAGGCAATCTCCAACAGCCCACTGCCACCAAAAGTTGCTGCTTGAGAGCAGCTACAAGCATCTGTTCAAAATCCCAGTCCCCTTTGTGAGGGCCAAGTTGGCAAGGCTTGAAAACTACCCCTGTAAGCATCACTGACATCCAAGCCTGGTCCTCGTGGCTCATAGTGGGGAGCAAACACCTCCCAGGGGTGGAGGAGCAGAGCCCCAGAGCCACTGGTGTTCTATAGGATCTGCTGCTCTGCTCCAGCAACCCCCAGAATTTGTGTCCTGGGGACGCTGCCTTGTGCAGTATTATTTCTACAGCTTTTGGTGGCCTTGTCTGCTGGGTTGTTAATCCACCAGCTCCCAGAGCCCACCTCAGGCCCACAACGAGGAGCCAGGTGTTTGGTCTCCAGCCTTGCCTGCTCCCCAGGAAGGCAAGGTCCTGTCTCTTCTGGAAAGCCTTTTCAAATCATCTTTGCTCATACAAAGCAGGTTCCTCTGGGTTCATTTTCACCTGGAGCCCAACCAGCAGGAGGGGAGACTCGGCCCTATTTTGAGGAATATTTTGTTTCTGGGGGTGCATTTGCAGGTTGAGGAATGTGCAAGGGTTTAAAATCCTTTCTAAATCCTTTTTGTCGTCGGGGTTGTGAATCCACCAGCCCCCATAGTCCACCTCAGGCCCACAACCAGGAGCCAGGCGTTTGGTCTCCAGCCTTGCCTGCTCCCCAGGAAGGCAAGGTCCTGTCTCTTCTGGAAAGCCTTTTCAAATCATCTTTGCTCATACAAAGCAGGTTCCTCTGGGTTCATTTTCACCTGGAGCCCAACCAGCAGGAGGGGAGACTCGACCCTATTTTGAGGAATATTTTGTTTCTGGGGGTGCGTTCGCAGGTTGAGGAATGTGCAAGGGTTTAAAATCCTTTCTAAATCCTTTAGAGCTGTTGTCCCTTCTCTCCTCAGCATTGCTTATGCCCACAGAAAACACAGATATTCAAACAAAGAGCAGCTTCAGCATGTCCCTCACCCAGTGTCGCTGCACTTGGGCCACCAATGGCTGGGGTCACAGCTCTGACCTACTCCTGGCCATAAGCATCATAAGCAGGGCATGATGTCCACACAGGGGAGAGGTGACCATCATCAGGAGGGAAACTGGGGCTTATCCAAGGGTTCCATTCAGTTTTCAGCAAATGGGCAAGGTACCTTCAACGCTAGAAGTCCTTCAAAATGTCATCTGCTAGAATCAAAGGGTCTTTTTCATCAGCTCTAGTAGGCAGGTGGAAACACTTCTTGCAAAGAGCACTAAGAGGATCCAAGGAGTATTCTAGGGAAAAATCAGGCGGTTTGGGGATGAGTCAAGATGAGTCAAGTTTTATCTTTTTCAGCTGGGGGAAAGA